AACTGCGGGCGGGCCGATTTGGCCCGCGGGCTAATGCGGGCGGGCTACGGGCCATGGATTTCCCAGCCCGTAGAAATGCGGGCCATTTTGGCCCGCCCCGTAGAAATGCCGGACCGGCCCGTTTGACAGTGCTAGCTTTTTTGATCTAAAAGTTGTTTTTCAAAAAGCTACAAATTGAAGCCTTTTCAAATAGCTTTTTGAGGAAAAAATATAAAATGACATATTTGCCATTAATTAACTCTACTACATTAACTTTACCTTATATTATTTTAACACACTAGCATATTTGGGTTAAAAATCAAAGTTAGCTTACAAAATAGATTTACATTTTATTGCATTAATATATTGGATTAAAAATAAAATTGAGATTATAAATTAACTCAAATTTCTTCAAATACTCCATTGACATTTGAATTTAAGTGAATTAGGTGTTCTGTAAATATAAAAATAAAAACGAAAGGTTGAGTGATGAATTATGTGCAAATTTATAGAGGAAGAGTAAGACTAAAGGCTGATAATTGATATGCGAATTTTTACATTTTATGTTTTTTATTTTATTTTTTATTTGAATATTTGTTTTCATGTCAAATTAAAATCTTCATAACTTTTTTTACTTCACAATTATATATTGTAACAATTTCTTATTTGTGTTATGTTATATTAAGTCGTTTTACAAATATTTTAAATATAAGTAATAGTTATTTTCAATATAATTATAATTTTAAATAAACAAGAATATAAAAGAATAGATGTCCATATAAGTAATTTTACATGTTAACAGCTGATTAAAAATAGTTAATTACCAAACACTCTTTTGAAAACCGCTAAAACAATCAGCTGGTCAAAACAGCTAACACCATCCGCTAGTCAAAACAGCTAATACAATCCGCTAACAGCTAACAGCTAACCGCTAACTGTCAAGGCCTTGATGTAATTATAAAACTCTTGAAGGTTTCTTTTGGTAATAAAATCCCTAATAACTGAAACCCAAAATAAAAAGGGAAAAGAAAAAAATAATAATAATAAAAAAAAAAAAAACGGATACCGTCTTCAAGCTCGAGTCTTGTTGAGCAGAATGCGGCCAAAAGGGCACGCCTATCTCCATCACAGCGCGTATAATCACGCGCCCGTGCACACTGTGAGACGCATCCCCTCAACAGCATTAATAATAGCAATAGCTCGGGGCTTGAAATAAATTAGCGGCAATTTTCTGGCAATCTTTTTTATCGTCTTCCTCGAACTTTCCATGGCTTAATTTCGCTCCCCAAATTTCCTCTTTCTTCTGAAAATTGAGTTCTCGTCGAACCCTTCTGCGTTTCTCATAAGATTCGCACTTTTTACAGGAAAATTTTCAGTGCCAGCCAGGTGGGTTTTGGGTGTTTAGTTTCTATTCTTGCGATTTTCAAGAAATTGTTCATTGACCATTTCATTCTCAACGAGCTTTCACCAATTCTCTCGTTTTTTATCGTTCAAATTATGTGGCGGGTCACTCGGCTTTCTTTCGTTGTGATTATTAATTATTTGGCGTTTATTAGTTCAAAGATTGGATTTTTATAACAATCTTCTAAATTGTTGGCAAGATCAGTTTTTTTTTATACTTTTTATCTTATTGCATTTTTTGTTGCAACTTGTTTGTGCAGCGTTTTGTCTCTCCTCTCAATCACTATGTTTGTATCTTGACAGATCGAATTTCGATTGGGTGGATCATCTCTATCTATGGTGAGCTAACGTATCTGATTTAAAAGATGATAAAAAAAATGGTTTCTTTTATGTGTTTTGATGGATCCAAATGGTTTGTTCATGTGTCCATGTTTCTCATTTTGGGTTTTTTCCATTTTACATTCTCTCTCTGTGATATGTTTTGTTTACTGGTTAGGGGGAAGCTCCAGCTTTCTTTGAAGATGATCTCCATGAAAATCACACAAAGTGGCCCGTGTTTAACTCTAAGGGCTACGACACCGCTATCGATGTTGGATGCGGAAAAATCGTATGATGATAATGATGAATTTACTAATTTTGTCTTTGTTTTTCCAGTTTTCCTCCACATGGTGAAGAAGTTTATTCGTTTTGAATGAATATTCTTCGTTCTTGATTTTGTTCTAGTATGCCATTGGCGCTACTGATTGCGCGATTGGAGTTCGAATTCTGGATAAATCGAAAAATGAATGGTAAGGTTTTGAATGGGACCATTTACTTCTCAAGACTGGTGTAGTTTTTTGAATTGCTACAATTGATGATTTGATAATCCCGTAGGGTGAGTCCCACTGTGCTGGGAATGATACCAAAACCGTCTGAAGGCCATTCGGCTATTGCCTTAGATGAGGATCGGATTTTGGTTATTAAGGGGAACACCGACTCTGATGACTGCTTTTGGTTTCTTGAGGTTGGTGTTTTTTTCTTAATTGATATATGTGAGGTGTTTGTTGATTATTTATGGTGGACATGTATAGTTTCAGGCATTTTAGTGTAGTTTCTCATATTGCCAATGCTTTTGGATGAAGTGTTGATTGTTGTAGCAAAAAGTGAGAAATCAAGCTGAATTTAGGAATTAGTGGCGGAAACTAGAAGTTCGGCAAACAATTTTTTTAACCCGTTTGTGTGAAAAGTTTAGACGAGGAGCAGAATCTGAATTGTCAATGTCTCTCCACTCTTAGATTCTGATTGATTTTGCAGAAATCAGAGGAGGAAGTTTTATCAATCAATAAGAAAAGCTCGAATCTTTTTCTTTTACCAATTTGTGTATTTTTTTTGTTTTTAAAATAAATTTGCTTTCCAGATCAATACCCCATTTGTTAGAGATCAAAAGGCGAGATTCGGGACTCAAGTGGTTGCATGGAGCAAAGCCGTCATTGGCCAAGCCAAGATACCGATTGTTATTAGCGGCCCTTCTGGAGTTGGTAAGGGCACTCTTATTTCTAAGCTAATGGAGGAGTTCCCTTCGACTTTCGGGTTTTCTGTGAGCCACACGACTCGAGCCCCAAGGAACAACGAGCACAATGGCGTTCATTACCATTTTACCGAACGTGCTCTGATGGAGAGAGATATAACGGATGGTAAATTCCTCGAGTTTGCAGCCGTTCATGGAAATCTCTACGGGACAAGTGTCGAGGCTGTTGAGGTGGTTACGGATGGCGAAAAGGTATACTCATCTATTCGTACATTCATTCGTTAATTTAAGTTTTTTTTATTCAGTTTTTCTATTTGTTGCAAGTTTAATGCCCAATTATTTAGGGATTTATCTGTGCAGAAGTCATATTAAAGAAAAAAAATTTGAATTCTCCCTCATTATCTCTGTTTATGGTTGAAATATGCATAATAGAAGCAGAAAGTTTTGAAACAAATTACCCTTTTTTTTTCCTTAGTCAAAAGCTGATAATAAGTTATACTTAATTTTCTGCAAACACAATCTCTAAGACTTCTCAGTTGGTATGTTTTGACCTCAACTGCCCGTCTTAAACAATCATGAAAAAAGATTAGTTTCCATATTGCATTTTGGTAAAAATGGACCCTAAACCTTGAGACTCGATTTTGGTGGTGAATTTTCTTGTAGAGGTGCATTCTTGATATTGACGTTCAAGGGGCGAGATCTGTGAGGGCTACTTCTTTAGAAGCAATTTTCATCTTTATACGTCCTCCCTCCTTTGAGGTGCTCGAGCAACGCCTTCGCTCAAGGTGGCCTCGACTTAAAATGCTAATATTAAACTAAAATGTAATTATTGTATACTCTTTCTTATGTCAATTTTTTATTTTTTATTTTATTTTATTTTTT